TATAAATTCATATGTCTATATTTAATAAAGTTCCCTGAGAAGGTTTTGTTCTATATTACATAAAAAATAAGTCAAATAAGCAGAGCAATTACAAGCTGGTGCTAATTATGTTTTTTTATCAAAAAACGTTTCGACTGTCATAGGTTTTGTTCTGTGACGACAAGAACTGGCTGTTTGTTAGGACAACAAAATAAATTCAAGCTCCAAAGAGTCAAACAGTTAACCCTCCACACATGGAATAATTCACAAAAACTTCTATTCAAAGTTTAAGATGTTTTTTTTTTTTAATTATCCAATTCCCAGTCAATCATATTTCAGTTCAAAAACTCGACTTAACTTGTGGAACTCAACTAAACTAAGCTACTATCTATACAGAAAATAGAAATAAAGATGGTTCAAAAACTCATAATCAATAAAATAACGCAATGTCACAATTTTACATGGATTTCATGTTTGAGAAACAAAATTTATCTTTAAGCATTTAAAATAAGGTCAAATTAGCTTTTAACTAATTTAGAGCAATTGGAATTTGTTCAAACCAACTCACAATGCAAACCCAAGAAATAAATCCAACATTATCATTAAAATAATGTTTTAATAAGCAACTTGCCTAAATACGTAACCAATAAACATTTATATAATTGATTCCTAATTTTCTTTGAGGAACATTTAAAAGTTGGAACCCTTATGGTTTAAGTTTGTTTGCTAGGTATTGTTATTAAGACAGTAGCACTAGTAGGTAGCAGACATGCAGGGACTTGTCCTAAAAGAATCTTTTAGTAATCAAATGTAATCAGCAAATCAGGCAAAACAAACAATAATGTTATATTAGTGCTTAAAACCTTATTGAAATAAAATTTTTTTTTTACTTTATAAACAACAGCTCAAAACATGTCCGCATTAGGTGAGCTGTTATGCGGTCACTATTGGGTTTTATTTTAGTTTGCTTTTTACAACAGTGACATTATCAGCAATCAAAACCCAGATTTTTAGCAGTCAGGGTGACACTTCCTGACCTGCAGAGTTCGCAAGATCTTACTCAATATGGTCTCACTGGGTTTGCTAAGGTAAAGAGGGTGAGGACAGCAATCTCACACTCTTTACACGAGGTGCAGGGTAGGTGGGTTGAGATTACATGTCCCTGTGATATCTCTCTTGGAGTGTTTTACTTCCGTAAATTTACTTTGGTCCCAGGTGTTCAGCAACACCCTTAGTTTTTATATTTTTTTTGAATGCTTTAAAAAAAACAGCTTTTGAAAATATCTTACTAGGAAAAATTAACAAATCATTCCTGATGCAGTGTAATTAATAGAATATACTGTCTAAAGCTTTTATTTATTAAATTATTTAATTTTACTTTGAAATTAAATAATAGGCTTTAAAATGGCAGACATGTTAAACATATGGTTTGTTGGTTTTAAAGTAATTTATTTTAACAGAAAAAAAAGCACAATCATATTTGTCCTTCAGTGGCACCAAGAGGCAGGTGTGGGCATACTACTGTTTATGTTATGCCACACCACACTCACTGGGAAGACATTCCCGTATTATCTAACCGTAGCCATGTATAAAAATGTATAATGCATTATACACCATTCAAAGCAGTTTGCTTATGTAGTAATAATCTGTGTCTCCTCAGGGTGAACAGTGCAACATTGTCCCTGACAATGTTGATGACATTGTAGCAGACATTGCCCAGGAGGAGAAAGAGGAAGGTATTAATAAAAATAATTTGTTTTTACTAACCCACACACACACACACACACCCACCCACACAGCCCGACACACACACCTCCACACACACACTCGCCACACACACTAAAATAAACTTAATATTACTAGACAAATACACAAACATGTTTTCTAATTTTTTTCTATGTTGCAGATGATACTCCGGAAACCTGCATCTACTCCAATTGGTCTCCATGGTCTGCCTGCAGCTCAGCCACTTGTGAAAAAGGAAAGAGGATGAGGCAAAGGATGCTAAAGGCTCAGCTGGACCTGAGTGTCCCCTGCCCCCATACACAGGATTTTGAACCATGTATGGGGCCTGGGTGCAGCGATGAAGGTCAGTGTCAAGAGCATTATATAACATATATACTATGTATTTTAAGTGCTAACAGTATTAATGATTGAGCATCCACCTCCCTATGATTATGTTGTAAATTATATGTCTATGAAATTACATTTCACTTTCAAAATGTGTAGATGTTCTTATTAACAGTTGTTACCTATTTAGGAGGACCTTTTTTGATATATATTTGATGACCTTTTGAGGACCAACACATCTTGTGTGTGTCTGCTTCTGTCACCTTGAACCCCAGTCGGCCTTGGCAGATGGCTGCTTACACTGTGCCTGGTTCTGCTGGAGGTTTCTTCCTGTTAATAGGGATGTTTTTTCCTCTCACAGTCACTACAAGCATGCTTAGTGTAAAGGATTGTGTTCGAGTCAATAAGTCAATGCAATCAACTGGTTTTCCTTAGAAAACTTTAATAGATTTCACTGTATGATCTGGTGAACTGTAAAGTGCCTTGAGATGACATGTGTTGTGAATTGGCGCTATATAAATAAACCGAATTGAATTGAATTATGGAGACCGAAGGCTGGTCCTAATGTTGTGGACCCCCAATTTTACCTTAGAGAGACAGTGTAGAGTTATGGTTTGAATTAACTTTAGGTTAAGTTTAGCGTTAGGAATAAACTAATTATGTCAGGGTAAACATCAGGATTACACATAAATACATTAACTAAAATGAAAGTAACTCAATGTAAAGTCTTGATATGAAGAGAAATACAAACCTGTGTGTGTGTATTTCTCACATCGTGGGGACCATTTCCTATAAATACTAGCACATAGTGGGGACCAAATGCTCTAGTGGGGACCAATATGTGGTCTACATGGGTTCAAACAGTATTTTAGGGTTAGGTGTTAAGTTTAGGACTAAAGCCTGAATTGAGTTTAGGTTAGGATTACGGTTATGTTTGGACCATTAATGGTTAGGTTTAGAGTGAGGGTCATGGTTAGGCTGTAGAACTCACCTACAAATGTATGGAAGTAAATGAAACCAGACTGGGGGTGTGTGTGTGCTGTGGGATCTTGTTTTACCTACAATGAGGGGGCACTGCTTTGTAAATACCCTGTATTGTGAGGTACATATGGGGACATTCAACTGCTCCCAAGATGGTAAAGTTCTCTTCTTTGGGTCCGAGTTAGGTTTAGGACTAAGGTGTAACATTGGTTTGGTTGAAAATGGCATATTTGCTGTTCTATGAGCCCTAATGCAAGCCAGGTTTTCTTCCTTTTATGGTATGCTAATGAATATTTAGATGAGTTGTGCGCTGGTTGGTTGGTATACAACTGGAGAAGCTGCTGGGCAAGGACGAATCATAGCAATAAGCACTCACTCACTGAAACATTCAAATTGTTGATATGGTAGGGTGACCAGACGTCCTCATTTTCCCGGACATGTCCTACTTTTCATACCTAAAAAAATGGCCGGGGGGGAATTTCAAAATCATCCGGGATTTTGGTCGACACATTCCCCGTCCCCGCTGCCGAAGAAAACATCGCACTTTGCCCCGTACATACACACTTAATCATTCTTTACCTTCACTAGACGTGGACAAACTTTAGTATATTCTGCTATAAAATGAGTCTTATATTTTCATTTTTTACTGGAGGATTCAACCTATTTTACAGGATGCACAGCTTTGAGTGGTAACTAGGTGACTGTAAGAGCGTAAAACAAAACTTATTTGTTTATTTTTCTGACTAATCTAATCAGCGTACTCTCTGATAACCAGAGACAGATACGCTGTACAGGTTTCACAAGGAACCTCCTCCCCACACCCGCACTCTCTTGATGACCCTGCGCAATCAAAATAGTTCTAATCCACACATGATGCACAAATTATTGTATTGCCTGCACGCTCTTACTCGCGTTAATAAAAACACCACCTCGCATACTCTAAAATCTGGGATAATTTATCCGACTCACAGGCAACTATCTATATCAAGGAGACTCCCAGAACTTCCGGGAGACTTGGGATGTCTGTTACCGTCCCCCTTCCTCTGGCTGAGGACGGGCGGCTCATGGCTTGCTTACTTTTTTATCTTGTGTTCTTTTGTGTACGAAATGAGTTTCTTCAAGTGGAGCAAAAAATGTTAAAAAACAAATCCTGTGGCATGCACACATATTACACTTACGTTCCTTCTATACAGTATTGCTTCAGTTCTATTTTATGTAAAAGTTATACAGTTTGTCGCTTTTCTTTGTGTTTAAATAAATCCAAAAAATACCAGAAAAGCAGTATGTATGTTGTAACCAAAAATGGATAAAAACATGGATATAATTCTTATAACTATTCTTATCTCTGAATCCAATAAGATGCAACTAACAATTTTTCAGACATTTTGATAAAGCTTTGGTGTGGCTGACCTAGGTTACATTCAATAGTTTTTAGATTCTCTTCTGACAACCAGAATCCCTAGCACTTTCAATGACTAACATTGTTACTTTCTTCCCTTTCCTGTTAAGATGCCTCTACCTGTATGATGTCTGAATGGATCACATGGTCTCCATGCAGCATTTCCTGTGGGACAGGCACACGCTCCCGAGAACGTTATGTCAAACAGTTTCCTGATGATGGCTCAGTGTGCACTTTGCCAACAGAGGAGTCAGAAAACTGTGTGGTTAATGAAGATTGCTGTGAGTTTTACTTTTCAGCATATTTATAAAAAACTTGCACACATAGATTCTATGATTTGTTGTTTTGTTTTAAGGTACACCTGAGCTACCGTTTTAATGTTTCCCTATCTTTGCCTTCTTGACTCTAGCTCCAAGCAGTTGTCTGGTTACTGAGTGGGGTGAATGGGATGTCTGCAGCGCTACTTGTGGTCTTGGCATGAAGAGGAGAGAGCGCATGGTGAAGATGCCTCCTGCAGATGGTTCCATTTGTGGTGCAGAGGTTCTAGAGGTTGAGAAGTGCATGATGCCAGAATGTCGTGAGTAGCAGTACCATAACTTGTGTACCACTTGTTTGACCACAAGTTAAACCCATTAGGCACAAAAGTGTGTAATCTTTTAATGCCCTTTTATGTGTAAAGTATTTTTGGCTTTTGCTCAATCTCTGGTGGCATATATGGTATATTATGGTATGTTTTTGTGATGAATAGATACAATACCATGCTTGCTGACTCCATGGTCCGAATGGAGTGACTGCAGTGTGACATGCGGGAAGGGTTTGAGAAAAAGACAACGTATTCTCAAATCACCAGTGGAGCTTGGAGATTGCACAGAAGAATTGGAACAGGTGGAGAAATGCATGCTACCAGAGTGTCGTAAGTAAAAAGAATCGTTGTTTAAACACCCACATAGGCTAAACCTGTAAATTCTAAGTATAAAGTAATTTATGGCAAAATCAATTTTAAACTAATTTGTATATTTTGGGTAGACATGGAATGTAATGATGAAATGCTTCACATTTCTAATCCCTGTTCTAGTGTCAAACCATCTTAAAAATTTGAAATCGGCTTCTAGATGTTAACCAAAAGGTCAAGGTCAATAAAATTACCTGATCTTTAAAAGATTTGCATGTATAAAAACATTTGTGAGTTAAAAATGCTTTGAACTGTACAGTAGGAAGAATGAGTCTAATTCAAATAATGGGACAGCATTAAAGCAGATTAAGTTATTAAGAGTATTATTATAGAGTATTATTAGGTATTTAAGCATATATAGCACCATACTAAGGTGAACAAAGGCAAAATTGGCCAATAATTACCCCAAATTCATGTCTCTTCGTGATCCTTACTTAAACTGTTTGAAATTTGTTTAAATTAAATAATGGTTTAACAATGAAACATATTGTCCACCAGATTTTTTATATTTGCATAGTAAAACACAAACTACATTCATAAATATCGATATAATGCATGACTGTAATGTTTTGTTCTTTGTTGCAAGTGTTATAGTCCTATAATTGTCATGATGGGTAATCTAAACTAGCCCAAAATGCAGAACACACACGGAAAACGGGGTAAAAGTTCAGAGTTTATTATGGTTCACAAAACACACGATAAAGAACTTAATCTGGAACAAGTTCAGGGCTGGTTCACTAGAGTCTTGACTGGGACTGGAGACTGTTGGTTAGCAGAGTTTATAAGAAGCTAAGCATCTAGCTTCAGGCTTAGCATGGCAGACCTTGATCTGAGCATCCAGCTCACTGCAGAGAACAACAGGGAAAATCCACATAGGAATCTTCAGGCT